TCAGAGGACGGAAGCAACATGGGGAAAAAAAATTAAAAAAATAGGGGAAAAAAGATAAAAGCAGAAAGGCAACGTCGCGGCGCGGCAGGGAGCGTGGCGGCGGGCGCGGGCAGGGCGGGGCGGGCGCGGCAGCCGCCCCCCGCGCGCGGCCGCGCCGCGGAACGTACCTGTATTGTTCGCGGCAGTGTGGACAGGAGCGGAGCGCAGGGCACGACGCGGGGCTCGGCGCGGCGCCTCAGCCTCGCGTTGGCTGCCTACGAGAGCGGCCTGATTGGCTGCGGGGCTCTGCCGTTTAAAACAACCTCCTCGCCCGCTCATTGGCGCGCCGCCTCATGAATATTAAGCGGCGCCGCGCGCCCGTTGGCCGCCGCGGGTGAGGTCATTCATTCAAAACGAGCGCCCGCCGGGGACGCGCGAGCGCGCGGCGCGGAAAAGTTGGCGCGCGGGGCAGGGGGCGGGGGGGAGCGCGCCCCGCGCAGCCCCCGCTCCCCCCCAGTCCCCCCATTCTTCCCCGACTCTCCCACCACAGAACTTTCCTTGCCACGTGGTTGCGGTCGGAGCGGCCGCGGCGCGGGGGGTGCCCCGCGGTCGCGTTGTCCCGCGGGCCACGCGGGAGCCCCCGCTGGCCCCTTCCTTGTGACTTGTGTCCCTGAGGCAGCGCGGTGGAGCCCAAAGGGAACTCCAGTGACAACCGCTACACATGTACATGAACGGACTACAAAGAGAACAATGTGCGAGGGAAGGGTATAGCGGGATCAGAGAATTTTACCCACTCATTCATCTCAAAAAAAAAAAAAAAAAAATCCCACACCACTAACTGCAGTTACTGTTTCTACACTATTTCCAGTTTGTTTGCTATTAGCTTCCTGGGATCCAGTTGTTTCCATAAAGAGGCTGTTTGCATTTGAGGAAATCTGTAACCATTCGCTTCTGGCTGCCACAAACCCTGCACACGCTGGGGCCGAGTCTCCCCGGGCGTTCTCCGAGGAGCCACTTCCTATAGAGCAAACGCCAATGGTTGAACTGGTAATAGCGGCTGACCACAATTGTTGGTTGGCTCACAAAAAAGAGCTGTTATTTTAGGGCTGGAGCTGCAAGTCTCAGAAAGCAACACATGCTGCTCCAGGCTGGGTGTAACTGCCGTCCTCCTCCTGAGATAGCCAGAAGAAACTGTTGCCCTCTTTGAGAAGCAGATAGCGGGCAGCAGCCTCCGCCCGGCGCCGAGACGCGGACGTGGGCTCTGGAAGTGCATGTGGTGATTGCAACGTACGTGGTCTGCTCACAGGGCACCTTTGCCAGCAGAGCTCAAAGCAACTGGTGGCATGTGCAGTTGATGGCTTCATGGAGAAGCTTAGTTAAACATGCAGGATGTCAGTGGTGATTTTTGCCCAAGTTCTGCTTCAGGTTCTCCCTTAGGGTATATCCAATCTGCTTGTGTAGGAAAGCCCAGATCCATTTGTCATCCATACCCAGAACCACTGAGGTTTATGGAGATCTACACCCACGTCCTCAGGCTTTCCAAAGCACATATGGTAAAACTCCTCTTACTAGCCTGGCGCCCTATTTCTATGTTCTAAAACCAAAAGCAGAAAATGAGGGGTTCATTCATAGACATTAATGAGGCTACCTGAGGGACTCTATTCTGTAGCATCATCATAAAATAAGACAAGCAACACTACTGCATGTTAATCCCTTTGTAGCTGATAAACATCCCTCTTACCTATTTTTAGGGACACTTTAAAGTGTTTCAAACTAGTTGAATAATTAAAGTGATTTTTTTTCCTTGGCACTGGGTCGCACTCTCTTTGCTCCAAAACCCTTTCCTCCTCGCATGACAGTCACACCATAAGGTGCACGAGGAGGCTGGGGTGCTACCAAGGCCGGAGGGGCTGCCTGGCTGCGCCGGCTGCAGAACCACTTGCTCAGGACAGAACTCCGGCAGCAAACAAGCAATCCTGCCGTGCACCCCCCGAGCATCCCTCCTGTTCCCCCGAGGCCAAGGGAGACGCTACCAAAGATGTTTCTTCCAGGAACGCCAGGAAAGTTTTGACTGCCGGTCAAGGGCCAAAGAAGGTATTTYGGTAGCTGAGGGACAGCTGGGAAGTTTTGTCCTAACAGTCAGAGCATGGTTTTGAAAGCAGGGAGAAGGACCAGGAAACAAATGGATGGCTATAATCCCCATAGGGGAAGTTGATACCTCCTGAAACCTCTCTGCTGAAAGAGCTTCTCTGTCCTGGGCAGGTTCATACACTCTGTGCCCTGGATCTGAGCACGTTCCCCAAGGTGCCCAGGGAAAAGCCTTGGTAGGCTGGATGGGTGAATGTGACCTGCTGCTACAGCCTCCTGCAGGTCACAGGGTTCCCCAGCTCCGGCCTTCACCCAACCCCGCTCGGAGCTCACTAGCCTAATACAACCATCCAAGTAACCAGCCAAACCACACACACATACTTTCCTTCCCCAACCCTCAAAAAACCCCTCTTTTTAACATAACTTTTTTTTTTTTTTTTTTTGCCAGGTTAGTTTTCTGCTGTATTAGTGAACTGACCCATCAGACCAAGGGGTCAGATAAGTGCCTGAGCAAGGCAAAGGAAGATAGAACAGGATACAGTCAGGAGCAGGGAGCACTACTCATTTTGATGGCACAAAGTCAACATAAGTCAACATATTGGCTCTGTTACCTTGCTGAACTGCATCTTAGAAAACATCCTGGTCTTGGTTGAGGAGAGGAAAGGGGTTTACTTTGTGACTCCCAAGGAGAAGTTTGGGTTTGCTTTTACTTTTTTTTTAATAATACAAATTACCATATATTATAACTACTCCTATAACTACTATGTAGTTATAGGAGCAGTAACTACGGAGGCAAGAAAAGAACAATCAAAACAAAAAGAAGTTTCATGGTGCCACCTTCTTGGCGTAGAAGGCAGTGAGGTTTGTGGCGATCCCAGGAGAGCTTAATGTACAGTCCTGCACCCTGCTTCTGAAAGCTCCAGCCGATGAACAGGCACGTGCTGGGTTTTGGGTGACCACCTGCATCCTGTGGCAAGGCTCAGGTCACCACACCTGAACACCCCTGCAGGAGCTTCTTCCTGAGACACAACAAAGGTCTGTCCCAGCTGGAGCTGGCAAGCACTGAAGGCTTCCAGCCCACRTAGATCATGTTGGTGCTGCCCAAGAAGCGGGGGAGATGCAAAGTCATGAGTYGCCAAGATGGGATGATATCTCATCACAGGTAGAGTGACCTTCAACAAATCAATGGATTACGCTGAAAGTACACTTCCACTTCAGGAAGTCACCTGTTTCATTATGAAATGAAATGCCTTCTTCTCCCCAGGACCAAGCAAGTTCAGCTGTTCTTCCRAGAGCAGGCAGATCTCATCTGAACACCAGCCACAGCTTGCTGGGGATGGCCCTCTCACAGCTCTTATCTTCCTGCACTTGTGTCATATTGCTAGCAAAATAAGACCAACCACGCACTTAAGCTGTTCAAGACACCAGGACTGTTAAAAAGGACCATAGCCATATTTGATTTTTGTGGAACTTCCCCTAGGATGGGTGCAGTGAAGAAACATCTACTCCACCACTGACCAGCTTTCCTGGAAGGACTCAAACCATTTTAACAAGGTACCTCGAGCATGCCCTTGCTGTTGGTGAAACGATGCGTGCCTCAYAGAGATTCTGAAGGGAAGCAATTGAGTGTAAGAGATTATTTTCTCAGGGCTGTTAACAAACATCCCAGTTTAAATCCAGACTGTGCTGATGTAGAAAGTCAGCCTGACATTAACTTGTACTTGACCCCTGGCCAGTTTTGCTAGGCATTAGCTCAGCACTAGGCACGACTTCAGCTGAACGGTTGATGAGAATTGATGCCAGGTCCTCAGTAGTTTCGTTCAATATTGGTCAGATTGCAGCGTGCTCATTGCTGTGGCCACCTTGAGCATTGGTAGCATCAGTCATGAATAGCCAGGAAGAGGCTGGTGTGAACTCACACGCTGACATTTCCAAGCATCTCAGTGAATTAGAAGTTCCCTGGAACCACAGGAAAATGACTAGAGTCTTTCATTCAACAATATCCCCTAAATGAGCTGCTGTGGTGGTTTGAGAAGCTTCCCAAACACKGGCGATATTTTCTGTGAGGAATACAAAGCGGTACCTGGTTCCCATTTTGGAGGGGCAGCTCACAGGCACATGGCATTGCCAAGCAGTTTGCCACAGCAAGCAGTGTCTTGGGGTCAGATTTGGCAACATCAATGGTAACAGCCAGGAAAGGCTTTCTGGTCTGCAGCAGCACAGTCTTGGAATTGTGATATTACACCCATCAGCCTTAATTTTCCAATGCTGATACATGAATTTCTACCTTTCTATCCTCCAGCTGATGCAAATATGAGAAGGCCAATAAAATCTGTTTGTGCAAATAACTGCAATTAGGTATTGAATACTAATACTCTGTCAGTCCTTTTGTCCTTTACCCAGTTTTTGAATATGTCAAGCTGATTCCTTTGCTGTTAAATTAGGAYCATTAAACACTATTAATGTTACAGTACTCCTGTCCATTGCACCAAGGAATCTCTTCAATACAAGGAGTATAAAAGTCATGAAAAAAATCCTACTAGAAAGTCAGGACCAGCTGCCTGCTGTCCACCTTAGCTAAGAAGCAGTTTTCTGAGTCCTTCTAAATCACTGAATGTACTGGGTGACACAAAAAAATACCTAAAAGTTTTCCAAGAAGATGCGTGCTTGCTGTCTGCAGGGTGAGAAAGATCACAGAAATATTTCAGATCAATATTCAGTTCTATCAGGTAAGCAACTCAGCTCCTGTGAAATGTTTATTCAAGCAACTTGGAGAGCCGACATCGGCACAGGGAAGATGTGCTGGGGCTCCCGGTGGAAACCCTGCAGCAGGGGCCACCCATCCCTGCTGTGCGGGTTTTGCCCGGCTGCGAGTATCAGCGGAAAGGTTCTTTCCCACAGCAGCATTCACACCCCGAGGCTTGCGCCACACCAGGGTCGAACGGTTCGTGGACAGTGCAAGTCCAGCAGCTCAGCTCTGGAAAATCATTGGAGCGTGGGCAGCTACCCCAGCAYGCTGTCCTCTGATCCCCGTAGCTGCCTACCTTAACCTGCCGCCCGGGGGAATAGCATCACAACTATATCACAACCAGTTCGAGGCAGTATCGTTACCACTATATTTGATGCTTCCACCTCCGTCTGGGTCACATCTCCTCACGACCACTGCCCCCTGGTAAAATTGTCTAGCGAAGGCTTGACCTGAAYGTAAAGGCTCATATAAATACATGGGTGGGGTTGTACCAGCAATTAGGAATGAGGATGGGGGGGACCCCCTCTTAGCAAGCTAACAAAGCCAGGAAAGCTTTTCAAGCAAGAGCAGCCTATCAGAATGACAGAGCTGACATTTAAGATTGGTTGGACAATAGCAACAGGAGAAGTGTTAAATGACCTGTTGGCTCAGCAGCATATTCATTAGGCTAGTTAGGGGGCTATTTCAAAAGCTTCCCGTTTGGACCTAGCTTCTCCCATCACTGACTTTCTGTGTTAGCACGCAATAGAGATGAAGAGTCCCAGTTAACCCTTTTCTAACCCATAAGGTCCAAAGCTGTTTGCAGAGGTTTGCTTTACAAGAACTTTTTTTTTTTCTTTTAGTTTAGAGTTTGAATTCAGCAAAATCAAGCAAAAATCCCCTCCTAATTCATGTGAAACCCTCCTATTCTTTACAACACATGGAAATTCCACACATGGATTCGCTAATGCCCACAGACTAAGGCTGAATTCCAAGTTCTTATAACTATAGTAAAATATTTATAATTGCTCACTGGGATCTCAGCCAGTGAGAGTATTTCCTCTTTAACCTATTAAACAAAAAGAGTTATCTTAAATACGTGCTGAAAATAGAAAATAAAATTAGCAGCGGTGTTTAAGGAGCTTGCCAGCATGCAAGTTCAGAGACACAGGCTGAACTAGTCCCAGCCCAACTATGGGAAACCTAATGTTCCACTGATTTAAATATAAGTCCAATTTAACAGACGACCCCCCCTAAAATAGGGTGGTGCAGCCTGCTATCCTGTACTGCCACATCCCATTGCGCTGATACCTCTGCAGGAATAGGATATGCTCCCAACTGCACTCACAGAAATAACTACTGTCAAATGTACTTCTTGGGCATGGAGAAATGCAAGTTAAAATAACTGCGGCAACTCAAAACCTCCTTGTGGCAGAAACACAGGCAAGACAAACCAAAACACATGCAGGACAAACCAACACGCCGTTACCTTCACACGTGAGCTCACCCTCCTCCTTGTCTCCTTGCCCCTACCCTTTGTGGCTTTTCACTTGCTCTCCCTTCTCCTCCATCCTGTTTGTGCTTATTTTCACACCCCAGACACGGCTCTTTCCCAACACACACTACCAAGGTGCCCATGGGTGGCAAGAGGGCCGTTTCTCCCTGCAGAGCTGCTCCAGGAGATAAGGCACCGCAGCACAGAACCTCCTGCACTACCAGACTCGTGGTGTTGGTGTCCCCTGCGTACTGCCTCCTTATGGTCCCTGCTCCTCGCAGCAACCTTCATCCAACAGGTCCCTCCTGCCACAAYGCTCTTTCTCCAGACATTTCTATGCTCAGCTGCCACAGGATCACATGTTTCCACCTATCTTCTTTTTGCAGAGACACTATCTAAAGCCTTCTCGCCCCCAACAACTTGGTAGTGTAAATGAGCAGGATTCAACCTCGAAAGGGCATTTCTGTTCCAGTTTTGTGTACAAAGAATCACACAAAAAAGGAACAATGTCATTAACACTAAAAACACTGATTGAAAAATAAAAATAGTAGCATTTACCCACAATCAGGAGGAGAAGGAAGACAGGACAGGTAGAAATAATCTCCACAAGTTTCTCATAGACTTCAGAGGAGAAGTCTAGGGGCAGTTTTAAAGGAGAAGATTTTAAGTGTTTTCCTTGCACTTTAATTGGCAAGTAATCAAGACCACATTCAATGCAACACAAGTTCTCCCAAACACGCTGTGACAGCAGACCTAGAAACTCTATTAGGAATCCAATGCAATTACAACCCAACAGCAGTCCAGCAAAGGACTAGATGCAAAAGGAGACATGACCTCACATTAGAAAGAACCTGGTGGTGTTACAGTTAAGGCTTAGTTAAGAATACACTGAAGTGACACTAAACAGAAGCAATCAGATGGGTTGGTGCTGGGGCAGAAATGCTGCTCTTGTATGTTTAGTTCCCAGTCCTGAAAAACTGTTATAATCAGAGATGCCTTCTGATCATCACACAACTCTTCTCCCAATTATGAACTCTGATACTGCTAGCAATATCTGGACAAAAGTGTTGATGTTTTTCTCTTCAATTCCACCACTGCACACATTTCACAAGAGAAGTGGGGCACTGTGCTGCATGGGGGCAATTACACCTCTCAAGTTCAAATGTATGAAAGAAGAGACTGTTGTTCAAGAAGCCTAATCCTGGTGCAGCACTGTGTCATGATACATTTCTGAACAAAGTTTTGGGGCAGACCATAAAAATAAATGCTTTGCAACGTAACTACCTGTCTCCAGATGTCGGTCTCACCATAGAGGTCACGTACAGAGTTCTTGGCTAAGGAGGAAGAACAAGTTTTCTCTGTCAGAATAGTTGACCTAGAGCACAGTCCCTTTCCTGGCTTGTCAGGCTCCCAGACTGATCGGTTGTTGGATCACGTAGTGCAGACGGGCTGTTCTGACCATCACTTTAAGCTGGTGGAACATCTAGCTGTAAGAAAACAGGAGACACTTGGGTGATTCCAACATGGTTAGGAAATATGCTAGTATTATATCACATTAGAACTTTAGGAAAGCTCTACTTGTTACAACAGTAATTGCCAGAGGGACATAAATGGAATGAGTCCRGCAAAAGAAGAGCCTAAAGCAGTTTTTCTTGATCTGTCACCAGCACTGCACTTTCGGGACATAAGATCTCTAAAACTGATGGAAAGCAAAAGATGGATGTACCCCATATGCACATATCCTCACCAAAAGAAATTAAAAATGTAAGTAATAAAACTTTATACTTTAGCAAAACATTTAATTAGTCATAAATAAAATCCACCAGAGTGACAGTGCACAAGATGACTCCTGTATTATCTTCAAAGCAGTAGCTGGATCTGCAGTTAAAATGAGAATGAGAACCCCCTCAAAGCCCCTTAAACCTTTTCTTTTCCCTGACCTCTCTGTGCCCTATGTGTTTTTTCTTCTCGTAAGTCTGTTCAGAAAATTGTTTCCTTTTAGGTATCAGTTTGGTACTATCATTTCACCATAGCAACAGACAGAAAACAGCAGCTCGAACCCTGCAAGTTGTTGGATGATGCAGGTAGGCTCTCCTGCGAGGGAAGCCTTGAGTGAGACTCTGCTTGTGAAATACTGCTCACTTGCATGATTCTGGCTTCAACTCTGCTCAAAGGGAATGCACACAATTAACTAAATAACTCCAATTAAACTACCAAGAAGGCAAGAAGATTCTCAGTAACTGCACCTTGTGTGCAGCTGCACTGTAATCAAGGTATGGCACCAACCTCTGTACATCCCAAACTACCTTTAAAAGTAGTTCCCTCAAATCCTGGACCCCAAAATCCACCAGAATAGTTGAATAAATCCCAGAAAATTCTCTCACAGACCTCTTTGCTGGTTCAGACCTTGCTGCCAGCAAGTGCCAAAGGTACCACAAGTGGGTGGAAAATGCTGTGAAGCCCCAAACGTCCATGTCCCTCCCAAGCAATGGCCAGCAAGGAGAATGGATTTGAGCTAAGATACCAGAACATGAATCAAAGAGGATGAGGCTAAATCCTTCTGCTTTACTGTGGAGGTATTAGACTCTGACAGCAAGCAAAAAGGGAAGTAAAGAAGTCAACAGGATGATGAAGCAATGAAGGAGAGGAAGCAGCATGTTGCAATGCATGGTTGGGGATTACATGAATATCTTGACACCATTGAAAAACATGATTTCCTCCAGCAAATATCAGATTGAGCCACAAACTGTGTCACTCTATCAAACTTGGCCTCCCACCAGGGTGTGCTTGTAGCTATCCTTGATGATGTATGAAGAAAATTTATTTGGGGGAAAATAAYAAGGACCATAACCATTTCTGCTAAGCACTCCTGAAGAATTCTTACTTGACATTTGTCGAACATGTGCTTTGCTAACATACTTGATTAATTCCTGCTCTGCATGGGAGTAGAGGAACACTACAATGAGTGAATAACATATTTCCAGCAAAAGTCTTTCTAAAATGCGTGTGTTTAAGTTCTAATTTGTGTGTGTCTTCATATTCTTTATATTACTTATAGAGACACCTATGTGTCTATGTACACATTATGAATCATCATAATATTAAAGGAAGGTGAACTTCCCTAAAAATTCTCAACTATTTTAATTTTATTTTAGATTTGTCAGCCTATTTCAGATTTGTAGTATCTTCTTTTGAAATCAAGGGTGTGTAGTGTATGCCCATTGTCAAAGATCCCATTGACATCTATATCTTTTTTTGATTATTACTTCTCATATCAAGAAAAAGATGTCTGTCAAAATTCTCCTGAAGTATCTCAGCTTTGTCCTTTTCTTAAATAAAAGTCTTTCAAAGAAAATTGCCCTCAATTGTACAAGACAGAAAAACAAACTGAAAAGATTTTATACCCAAACACACACATATAAATCAAAAACCTACCTAGCTTCTTTTTCCGTATTGTCAGAGACAGCACATTTTCATGGCACCAGCAGCCTGGTATATTTGTTATTTAAAAATAACTAAACAGCTTTAGACCTTGCTTTTCTTTAATCTATAAACCAGTGTCAAAAGCCTGACCTCAAGTTACAAAACCTTTCAGAATTCTGTGAAATTCTGCAGACGACACTCAGGAAAGAATTCACATTAGTATTACTTTGGTCATAGTATATTGGTTGGTGGGAGACAGTTTTTTCTCACCATCATATAAACTGGCAAGACAAAAAACTTTGTAACTATGAATCCCAKTTTCCTGGGAAAAGTGTATATGGAAATGGCAAAGTTATTTGGCTTTACTGTGAACATGGCAAGCATGGTCTCTGGTTCATTTGGCATTCCTTTCCTGTCTTTCCTTCAGCTCATTTGTTTTCCATGTGGCTGCTTGTACGTATGCAATTGTCTCTGGTTATCATATGCTGAACATTATTGTTATGCACTCAGATTTATTCCCAGCATGAAAATTATTTGGAAATGGGAGGAACGAGGGGGAGAAACACAACCAGCACTGGAGGCACTCTCACAGCAGAGCGCTCAGAGCCTCCTTACAAACCTGCCTTCCSTGCCAAGAACCCGCGTTGTCAGAGCGAGCGCCAAGGTGCCTGTGTCACCACAGGAAAATCATATGGGAGSCAAAAATCAAAATCTCAGTCACAGGCAAAGCTCAAGGCACAGTAGGAGCACATATACACCATTGCTGCAGCCTGCCTGCTCCCTGAAAAACTTGTGTATGCCTGGTCCTTACTGAGGCCAAGTGCCACAGACAGTACTTGAGCGTGGTAGCTACAAACACTCCCGTGGCAGCCTCCCAGCACTGTTGTTTTGTAGTCTTGTGGGGCCTTGGGCTTTGCTGTGACAAGAAAGTAGTGACTTCGTGGTGAACCATCAGCTCGTGCACTAAGTCCAAGCTATACTCTACTCAGAAGGAAAGCTTTCAGTTAAGTAGGTTAAGGGAGCTCAGTAGTAGCGCAGTGATAGCACATCACCAAGTAAATAGCTGAGTATCAGACTTCTTGCACTGGATACAGCTGTCGTGTCCCTTGGCCGGAGCTGCAGCTTCCTCTGCTCAGCCCAGGTGACTTCTCCGTCACCAAGCCCAGCGCAGCCAGCCTGGGACGGGCAGAGAGCAACTGCACTGGGCCCACCAACACTGTTCAACTGAGCACAGTGACTGTGGTCTCCTCCAAATGGGGTGGCAATGAGCAGATGGAAGACGTCGCTCATTTCACCAATGCAGCTGGAAGGAAACGGTGGCTCTGTCTAATCAGAAGTTAACAGAAAGCCTCTCTCTTCTAGCAGTGTGACCACTCCTAAGACAGGTCTTTACCAGCAGATCCCACAAAATAGGGGACATTACTTTCTAGCATCTCAAACCACTCGCACAAGTTTGAAGCACTTCTTGGGCATTAGCAAGACTTGTGCCCTATGCTCCTGTCTCTGAGTTCACAGCTCCATGTTGAGCAGGGGACTGACACCTCCCTGGTCTGAGGAGTCACCTCACTCCCGACAGCGATGTAAGCACATGGCTACTCATCTGCACAGACCCACATAAAAATCAGATGGCTCCACACAAAGACAACACTGCCTTACCACTGTATTCCTGCAAGGCAGATTGTGCTTCTCAGCTTCCTTCACTGCCAGCTACTCARGGTAACTTGTCTGTTGTAGTAATTTTGGTCGACAACGCTCACTACTACTTACCCTCTTAGAATAATCACACCCTTACAGTACCTCTCGCAGCCTGATGTTTTGCAATGAAATCTGAGAAGGTCTGAATGACCCTAACAGCAGTTCGGCAGTGGCACTCTCTCACAGTTATTATATAAAAGGTAAGTGTGCTCCTTCCAGCTCTCCATTTAAATTTATAGTGATTGGTTCCATATAGCAACATGGTAAACAAAAAAATCCCACAGTCTTCATTTAAGAGGTTTATAGTAAATTAAAAAATTGCCAAGAGTTGTGTGTTGGCTCCCAGCGTGTCAGCTCTGTGTGCAGGAAGGGGATTCGGGCTCCCTTTCCAGGGCACACATAAAACACAATGTGATATACTGCTCCATTCCTCGACGAGTGCAACTGCAGCGAAAGCAAGAGCAGCTTACACCACTGGTCCTAAGGAAATCCAAGCAAGCCCGGGCTGGCACGGCCAAGGCAGAGATCACACGCACTGCTCCGCAGCCTGCTCTCCCAACAACGCTCCAGCATCTCCTCAGGATTTGACGAGGCACCAGGCTGCAGGTACAAGGCAGCATGGAGCTGAATCCCTGATTAATTTGGTACACAGAGCCGTGTACTATGCAGAACAAAGACTGCCAGCTCTGTCAGACACGGCAAGGATTGTATGAATTATTTTTTCTATTTTTACAAGGAGCACAGACCTTGAGAAGGTTCTTAAACTATCTCTAGAGATTAAAGGCCATTCTGTTATTCTGAATTCAGGCTGCAGGAAAGACAGGTCTTCACTCACAAGCTTTTAATTTCAGTAGCTGCACAAGTAAAATCAGAAAATACACACTGGGTTTGATCCGACTGCTGCTGAAGTCAAAGGCCAAGATCCTATGCAAGGTAGTGGCAAGAAAGGTGCAATTCTACTAWACAAAGCAAAATGTCTGGGGAATTCTCAGGCCTATCCTGACACAAGGTTCTTCCCTCCAAGAGCACTTGCTCTCCAGTGACCCTGCTGGCTCCCCACCACCCTGTGGGCCTGCAGACCCTCACAAGGACACCCCACACCAGAGCCTCAGTGGGAGGAAAAGCCAGTGCAGACTGGGAAGGCCTTGGCAGTACTGCTCGGTCACAGCCATCCATGGCTGCTCCCCCTAGRCTGAGACCTGCACACGAGATGGGCACCACAGGACAGATGAGGCCTACTTCGCCTTGACATCATCTCCATCTTGTTTTGGCACGGACTTGTGGCATCTRCTCCCCATGAGGAGGAGGAAGAACAGGAGGACCCTCCAAATCTCTGTGCGAACAGCCCTTGTCAAGCTGTTTCTTGATAGCACCCACCTCCCTGGCACTGCCATGGCCTGCTGATCCAGAGCACCTCACAAGGGGCTCCACAGCTGCTGGATGGGCTGACCCTGGCCAGCCGGGACCCCGCTCAGCACAGCCCTTGGGCCTGATGGCAGCAGACGGGATCAGCCAGGGGGAACTTGTTTGTTGTCATGGGGGAAGACAGCTCTTCCATGTCCTTCCATGGCCTGGCCAACACAGCCTGGCTCTGGAGCTGGCACTGAGGTGACAAGTTGGTAATTACTGCATGAGAAAACTTGTGCACATCAGGCCCCAGGGAGTTCTGGTTTGCTACCAGTTCAGCAACTGTTGCAGGTCYCAAACCTGAAGCTGCTCCCAAGAGCAGGAAGTCAGGATAAATGCCTGCTTTTCCTGCCGCCCTCCTCAATCGCTCCAAGATGGGGCAACCAGAAAGGCAAGAGAGGTATCACCCACCTGGGACCTCCCTCATCAGCCTGGCAGAGTTCCTGCAGCAACCTGAGGTGCCGGTGCAGCCCCTCAGCCCCTGTGTGCCCGAGGGGCACAAGCAACACATACGATCAAATGCAATGGTGTTTGTGTGCCAAAAGCACATGCCCTCCTGAGGAGGGCTCTCCCTGCTCTTACCTTGTGTTCCTCCCCATCTGCTCCCCCATTAAAATAAATAAATCAATGTGTGGCTGGCTGGGCCTCAGCCACAGGCCTCTCCCAGCCTCTCTCCCAGCAGCTCTGCCTCCCTGTAYCCCAGCCTCAGCCACAGGACCTCCCAGCAGCAAGGCTTTGCTGACGGTCCGGGGAGGCTGAAAGGTCCCAAAGCCAACCCAAGAGATTGGTTCTGCCAGCTGGTGAGGCCCTTCACCTCACATCCATGCAGGAAATACAGCCATGCCCACCCCCTAATTTATCAGGTTTTCACAACAAGAAATAAATGTGTTTTTACRAAGGTGGGGGGAGAATCACCAGTCCTGCCACATTCTCTGTTGATTTGAGTCCTCCGCATCTATCCGCAATCACTTAGCTAATGTATTTCAAGTCATCTCATACTTAAAGAAATTCCTCCCCTTCTCTGAAGAAGACACAAAGCAAAACCATCCAGTTTGCCCCTCTGAAGACACCCTTAGGCGTGGAGTGGTGGATCTGAGTTGAAAAAAGGGTCTGTAAAACTGCATTTGAAAGGCCATCTGCAGGAGAAGTTAGCACGGCTCCCTCCCTGCCGCTCACAGTAACTCTAACGTCAGGGCTTGTGCTCCAGTGGCATGTTCCCGAGGTGCCTTGCATATCTGCTGAACTAAGGCAAAACTGGACACTGCAGAGAGGTGATTTATGTCGCCAGGGCAAGGCGCTGCCTCAGAGGTCCCTCCCTGCTGCAGGCGGGACTYGCACTCACTTGTTCTCTGCCTTTCCTCACGCATCCCACTCTCAAGATCAACGCTTGTTTTCAGAGAGGAAGCCTGTGAGGCCAATGTACCTGATCTTCATTTTTCAGCATCCAGAAATCCCAAGGCAACTGTGTTACTCTGAAGAGATGCTGAGCTGAAGAAAGACACGGGCAACCTCAAGCCCATGCTGCAKTTCTTAGAGCCTGTTTATCCCAGGACCTCTGTGCTTTAAAGCACTGTAGCAGCTTTACCCTTCCCAAGTGCTACCTGAGTGCTAGAAGAGCTCCACCACAGCCGACCATCTAGCTTGGCTGAAAGGATAATCAACTCAGCGGAGGAAGGCAAAKGACTAAAAGGCTTTCCTTTCTCCATTTGTCAGGCAACAGGTCACACATCCTTGCAGACAGATCCCAAGGCCTGTCTCTGCTCTCACATTTCCTCCCTTCCTTTTGCTGACGCTTTCCTGACACATCTTCTTGTGCACTTTGCTCAGCTTTCTAAGTAACACTCCTCTCTGCTTGTTCTCCTTCCCACTCCCTGTCACTGGAGTCCTGCTGCTGTCATCACACTCCCATCAGACTTCTCCTTTCAACTGTGCGTTTCCACACTGTCTCTCCCAACTGTCACATAAGCTTCTGGTTCAAACATCTGTTCCTCCCCCTTCCCAGGAAGTTACTCCAAAACATTCTGCTTTCTGTCTGAATGGCAGGAAAGATATATTTGGTTGTACACGTGGCACTACACAGCCATCCATGCTGTGGAGTGAAAGCCTCTTTTTTTTGTGCGATTTGATCACACCAATTCCCAGGGCTGCAGGCTTAGTCCCTCCCTAATCTGCCAGAATGATGAGCGAGAAGCATGTTTCCTGCATCCTACAGCCCAGCTGCTAAGGGCTATCAGCCTCTGCTGTGCTGGAAATCAAAGGAGAGGGAAACCTGCTATCACTCACAAAGAGAAGGTCCCCATCATAATTTTCTGTAATGGGATAAATGGACCCCCCTCTGCAGAATGACTCAATAATGGTATGTGGAGGCCAAGCATTTCACAGTGCCAAGAAAGCACAGGCCATTTATAYGAACAACATGACTACGCAGAATGCAAACGCTCACATCAACCAGCGATCTCAAAGGGCATGTGCCCTTGTGCGACGCTGCTGAGAGCAGTGTTTAACATAGGCAAAGAGGTTGCTCCAGGCAACAGTATGATGTGCAGGACAGCCATGCCGAGCAACTCATGGCTCAGAGGCAGAACACATTTCCAGGGCTCCCCAACAGGCCCCAGCAGCCCAGATACCGGCATGCCCAGCTCTGCTGGCAGCCGCCAAAGGGCCCAGCCTCACCGAGACCTTGGGAAGGGAGTGGGAGTGATCACAGGCAAAGGACAACCGCTCTCCAGCCCCATCCTTGCTCTGCCCCCCTGTAGTGGCTGGAGGTGAGGCAGTTGTGCAGTAGCAGGAAGTCTCAGCAATGTTATTTTGTCTCCTTCCTCGAATAAGCAGAATTCCAAAATCTGCTACTGTGAGAAACTTCAGGGTGGAAAACAGTGTTGCAATCCTTGTGCCTGTCCACCTTCCTCCAAAGCATTCACTGTCACTCAGCAAAGACAAAGACTGGGGCTTCAGCTCCTGGATACTTCATCTCACAAGCCCCTGCTTCAAGRCACAAGGAGAGCTGTAAGGCCACACTATCCATCCACCATCACACCAGCCTAGGCTCCTTTGACACTGCAGGTTCAGCCATTTATCAGGTACATCATACACAGCTGTGCAGGACTGCTCCATATCCGCGGCAAGTGCCTGAACAAATAGTGCAGCTGATCACAAACTCCTTGAATTATGCAGGTGACATGGTCTGCTCCTCCACCAYTGATAGTCCCTCCGATAATGAAGGAGATCAGTTTCTCATGGCCTTCAACCACGTTCCCAAATCAGGCACCAAAACTTAAGTAAGGTTCAGAGATTTTCTGTTGATGGCAATGGTGGTGAGTTCTTCCAGGAGTTGCAACCCTAGTGAAGAAACTGAAATGTAGTTTCTATTCTATTCCCCTTTCAGCTGCTTATAAGTTTCTCAAAGATTCCTATTCAGGGTGAAATGTTCAGTGCTAGGTCTCAGCTCAGAGATGATTTCTTTTATTTCCCCCTGCAGGAACCATGAGCAAAATACTAAATGCAGTCGATTTGGAGTTTGGGGAGTGTGAGCAATCAGATATTTCCCCCTTGTTCCCTCTGATACCATATGTTCCAATTGGCAATTTTACACTTGCATACTGGTAACTCATAAATGGTGGAGATGATAGRCTTCAAATGTTCTCATTGAGAGACAGAAAACAAACCCAGATTTAACAAAATAATTGGTTCAACACTGTTAAGATGAGTTTAAAGAATTCTGATAAGGCTTTTCCATTCCTCAGTGTCCCAGGAGGGATAAGTACACACTTTTTATTTTAATCTATGTGCTATAATTTTTAAGGATAGCTGACACAAGGTGGTCTTTGTTAAGATGCATATATTTGCTTTGAAATCCAAAGAAGTTCAACACTTGCAGATAGCCCAAAAATAAAGACATTGCATTATTCAAGAAACTTTTGAGCTCTTTTGCAAAACCTTTATAAGTCTGTAAGCTGAACAGCTCCAATTCAATGCACTTTTTGTGCTGGTTTGTAAACTCCGCAGTGGAACTTTTTTCCCTTTAACCCCRAACTCACTTATAACTAACAGTAAAGAACCCCAATGTTCTTGCAGTGGTTTATTTTAGAAAGCCAGCCTTTCATCCTAATCATCTTCTCTCACTAGGTCAACTAGGCCATGAAGGGCTTTTTTTTCCACTTTGGAGTCCCTTGTTGAGAGCAGACAGTCCTGCAGATTCCCTGCAAACTTTGCATATGTGTCTGGGTTGCTTCTGGATTCAACATTTCTCTCATCTGAGGTACTGACCAGGGAAATTTTATAATGACAGGTCAGTGTTTGGAACCAGCTGTTTTGTTCAGACCTTCCTTGGCAAACTACTGGCAGACCCTTTGACAAAGGCACCATCCCTCACACACCAAATGTTATAAATACATAGGCTGTAAGACAGCAGAGATGAACTTTAAGCACAAGTACTTCCTCATCACAAGTATTTAACCATTATTAAAATTATGTATGCACAGAGATGATTATATTTATAATCAACTCCAGGAGCAGGTTTACCAGAAGGATGTAGGGAGACAGCATCCCTCTTCCCGCTCCTCCCATTACCACTGCATGGTGCAGAAGCACCTTTGCACATGGCTGGGAAATTACTGAATAGCAGCCCAGCCTGTCCTGCATCCCCTATATCATCTAGGGCCCTGATTGCAGCCGAGAGAGTCACTACTGACAGCTCACAGCACTTAATAAGGCAGGCACCAGATTGCCACCAAAACACACCCCATCATGGAGTAATGAAGCAACAGGCAGAAATGAACTGCTTGCACAAGGAAGTCCATAACCTGAAACTCACCAAATGTAAGAGCACATCATCAGGAAAGCATCTTCTTCCAATGAAGAAAGGGGCCCAGCATCACCTGGAAGAGATGAAACCCCTTTGGCAAGCAGCTTCCAGCCTGTTCTCTGCCTCCCCAGCATCTRGCACCCACTGACTTTGTATCTAGAGCTCCCGGGCTTTTTCACCCCTCARGTAGGTATGTAACCTAATAAATAATTTATGATTGCTACTCAAGTCCCACCTGCAAGGAAGAAGTCACCACTTTGGCTATGCTAATAATGCAATGGCTACTAATGCAATGGGATAGTTGTGGGTTTCCTTCCCAAACGTCCTGGATAGACTTCATTACACCAGTCACTTGGCACAGTAATGCCATCAGGTGCTATGGAATTACTCTTGATTTATAGCAGTGGGAGGGAGAGAATAATCAACCCCTGTGTCTTTACCTTCTGAGCTACCAGTCCTGCTGTCATCATCCTCATACTTTGAAGCTCTTCATTTCAGTCAAGTTGGGAGAATTACTTTGCTTCTGCATCCTTAAGCTCCAGTCATTCTTTGCTGTAATTCCTTGCAGCAGTTTCTGGAAAGGTGCTTTCCCCCCTCCATTCCCCTACAATAAATGAGTTTGTCACTTGAAATATACTGCCAATGTGTTACATGTCCCACAGTGTTTGTGGTTATATCAGAAGTGCTTGTTTATAGCACCATAATTCAGCGATATCTTGATTACAGGAGAGATGCTGTAGTAACTCACTGTTGCTACAGAGAGTATTATTTTTCTTTACCTTTAATATAAAGCGCTGAGTTTTAGTCAATACACCGAAAGAAAAAAAGTGCAGTTGTTGCCCTAGTAACCAGCTGCCTTGTAAATGGTAGGATGTTAGGAGCACAAGGTGTTAATTGTTCCAAGTGCTGCTTGTGGTCAGGGCTAGAGTGGGAGAGATCACGAGAAACATCTGGGACGAGGAAGGCAGCGGCTCTTCACTTGGGGCGAGCCTAGACAACAGCAAACAGGAGACGAGGACAGGAGCAGTGGTGCTGCCACCAGAGGAGCAAAGGGAACGCAACGTGGCCATGTCGGGAGGCATCCCTGAGTGTCCGCGAGCGCGGCGTTCAGCATTGCACTTGATGCAGCTGCTGATCCACTCGCTCCAACGTGCTGACCGAGCTGCTCTCCACAATCGTGCTGCACTTCCAGAAGCTCCTTGTCAAGCATCGCCAGCACAGACGAGCAAGGCCTATCCTGGGGAAGGTCCCTGGCTGCTCCTGCTGCTCGCTCGCCCTGCACTGCTAGAAGCTGCRGTCACCCAGAGGAGAGGCTGAGCTCAAAAGCTCCCAGGCTCCTTCCCCAGGCTCCTTCCCAGCAGAGCCCCCGGCCTCTGCGCGCGGGGCTGGAGAGCAGCACCCGGAGGGCTCCTGCTGCAGGGGCTCCGTGGGAGAAGCGCCGTGCCAGGCTCCTCTCCTGTTGCTCCTCTCTCCAAGCTGCACGAGCTGGCTCCACAGCAGCCTCCTGCTCTGCAACATCTGCCACATCGCTCTCCCTCCCACCCCTAAAAGCAGCCCTGCAAAGTGGAGAGCACACACAAATCCTGCTAGACCTGGRGGAAAGTTTTCTATTTCAGCCCCTTTTATCCATTTACCTGCTCTGGATGCCCTCTGAACCTGCCAGGACTTGCTTTCCCCTAGGAAATCAAGACGAGGAGCAGGGGTGTGTGTTGGGGGGAAAAAGGCAGCTTATTTATAGGCTAAGTCCCTCCCATGGGCAGGGTTATGCTAACCAGGGAGCCCAGGTCCCAGTGGGCTGCAGGTACCTGATAGCAACACATGGTGAGGATGGCTACGGGCCAAGGTCAAGCCTTAGCACTCAAGGACAGGGACGAGAGAGGGACAAGATGACAGGGTTGGTGCCCCTGCTGGGCCCTGCTTTTCATGGACACGTTTTAGAAGTCTCATTAACTTGTGGGGTTCTTTTTCCCCCCATCATTTTTATTTAGCATCTCTTGCTATTCATTCTTGGTAATAAAGCTATAGATCACACAGAGCCACATCACAAAGCCTTGCATGCGATTTAATGCCACTTCATCACRCTGGTGATGAAGACGTGCCTAGCTGCACAATCTTAATATAAAATTTGAGGCTTGTTTTGTTCCTTTTGCTCTCCCAGTGCAGTTCCTTGTGATAATGCAGCCATTTCAGTCTCTGCACACAGACCAATGCAGACCTCTGCCACCAGCCAGCGCTGGGGTCTTTGCCATGCATCCTTTACACTAAGAAAACACCCTTTGAGCAAATAAAGCTGAGAAACTGTGATTTCTTCCACGTGGAGAGCATCTGGGCAGTGCTTTGCATAGCAGTCACATTTAAACTGAGGTCTCAGGGTAAGACTGAAAAATAAAGATGAACGAGTTCGGTTGGGTAATTAGATAATAAAATTGAAGACTCTGGAGTTTAGCCCAGGAATATAGTGCCATGTATGTGTCCTGGCCAGCCTGCTCCCTTGCTTACTGCTGGCAGCCCAGTCCTAAGCTATCAAGGAGATCTGCTCTGTACATGGAGACCAGAGAGAGCCAAGCGCTCGGGTGCCACAGCAGCCGAAGAGCACAGGGAAGGCAGGAGAGGCCAGCTCAGTCCCACCGCTGCCAGTGTCCCAATGAACTGCTTCGGATGTCTATGTGCAATCCRGGGCTGCAGAGCCGCGTCGCAGGACGTGACATGGAGCCCTATCAAGGCCACTTGCTCCTTACAACAGATGGGTGGAATAAACCTTGATCCCGGGAGGATCTTAGTGGAGACGGTGCTCGGTAGGACCATGAGGCCAAAGTGTTTCAGGATTGGCAGTGTGAGGTGCTTAGGGACAGCGTTGGGGGTCTACAAGSCTGACTTGTGCACAGTGCAAGTCATCCCCTGAGCAGGCACGTGGAAGGGRAGCTCCAGCCCCTAAGCTCTGCCCTAGACCCTACTGGGGTAACAGCTGGTGCAGAGAAAGGTTTGGACAGAGCCAGAGCTAATCCTCACCCATCCCTCCCGATGCAAGCAAATACTAACATAGCTGTGTGCAGTGGTTCCCAAGAGCAGAAAGGGCAGCGCACTCAATGGGAGAGGAAAACTGATGTGGGTTTTGCTTTCTGGAGTGGCAGTTCTTCTACACTCATCTCAAATAGCTGCAGAACAGAAAGGCAAAGTAGAAGCAAGTTCTCAGACTCGGGAAATCCTTCAAAAATAAAGCAAATCCTTTTGAAAGGCAGACTTTGTCAGCTGCCCTATTTTTAGAATCAACTCCTACAGGTCCTTCCTTGAATGATAGCAGTTTTGCCTGAGCAATGACTAGGGACTGCAGGATTTAGGCTTTTAATAAAGCAATTGTGTAATTAAAAATAAATGGGTCTCTAGTGTCACTATTTAAAAAAAAAACTTAGATCAAATAAGACATTTCTTTCTTTTTGGTTTACCCTGCTTGGATCATGCAGAGCTTTAATGACGCAGTCACAAATGTTGTATTTAAAAGGCCTCTTAGTTGCTGAGAAAAGCCCCAGGAGAGGGCTATTAACTGGCCAAATTAGGCTATTTATTTTTGTGAGTTTTGCAAGTTTGAAAAAGAGAGGCACATTTTCACTTAGGAGAGTGATATTTCAAATAGGTCACAGGAAGCTCTGGCAGGCGGGGAGCAAAGCCGAGCGTCGGTAGGAAAACATTAACCAGAGACATTTTGCAAGTGCAAGTCGACATTTGGGTTCCTAATGGCTTCTGAAGTCCATTCAAAAATCTTTCACTGGGTGTAAAATAGGGGCAAGACATTGCAGCTGTGCAGGAGCCCTGGCCTAATCCTGAAAGCCCTTAAAATGGCAGGGCTGCGCCTGTGGCTGTCAGCACTGTAGACAAGTCTGGCAGTAGAGCTTGAAGGATACGGACTCTTTCTGTTGGCTACGAGATGCCTGGTGCTTACATAGAAAGCTGGTCAGTTATGAAATTTCCCTGCACCTTCTCTGCCCCAGCTTTGATTTTTAATTCTTCAGAGAATTAATGAGCTTAGCTTTCCTCTCACATAATCACAGCCCAGAGCAAGCCAGGAGTGACTTAAATGCACAGAGAATGTACCAGTTTTAGACCAGAAAATCAGGCCCGATACTTTTTACATGCACAGGGTGAAGGGACCCAGCAGCTGATGGGGTAAGAGCTTCCATTTGGTGCTGCCCCTGCCCGGATCAAGGTGGTGGTTCCTAGAACTGCTGCCGCACAAACAACAAGAGCACCCCTGCGCTTGCATGCGATGCAGAGGCTTTGCAGGAGCATGAGCAAAATAAGAAAATGAAAGAATAATAAGAAAACAAAAGTGGCCTTCCTAGAAAGTAAAGTGCATGCCTCATCATGAGTCATTAAATTCCCACTAGTTGAGTATAGAAATTAAGCAAACTAGTCTTAAATAAAAAGTCAGCATACGCCTATTGGACTAATCTTTGTTTGCCCCTCTGTAAAGCTGCTGGCGATGCTACCAACCACCYGGGATTCTGAGGATGGTGGGTCCGAGGCCGAAAGCTCCCAGATCCGTGATGTTTATCAAAATAGTGCTTCAGTCAGCGAGGAACAAGTCTGTGTTGAAACCCCTCCAGCGACCCCAGCAGCGAGGTGCGGCTGCCTGTTAGTAACCATGTCCCGCTCCTCTGACCAGCACACGGGTGCCATGGTAAGTGCTGCGTGCCCAGCGTTTCCGCAGGATTCCAGGTTTTACAGCACAGGCAGATTGGTATTTTATTGGATCTGAACGAKGGGGCTGGCACTGGAGCAAAGGGAGCTGAAGGGGAAATGGAGAGTGTGCCATTTCCCTGAAAGCCTTGTCAGTAAATACACAAAACATCAAACAGAACTGACCCCAAGCTCTCATCTTCCAGCAATTGCTGTACTCTGTCCCAAGTAACAAAACAATCCCTCGCGCCGCCGCTCTGCCATATAAAATCCAAGCGAAGCCAGGAGGCATTGCAGGCAGCGCGCTGCCACGGCCTGAGCGCGAGCACCACCGTACACTCAGGAGAGGAGCAGGGTAGAGGGGCCTTCGGCTGTGACCCGTCCCAGGTAACGTGTGATGGGAGGCCACCAGACACCCTGTTTTGCAGGGGCCAGGAGGGAGTTTATAGGGAGGAATGTACAGAAGAAAGCACAGACACAGTGCTCGTGCCATCAGCCTGGAGGTAGTCACAGCACTATGAGATGCTTGCTCGGTACAACCTCTGCCCCAGCTCACACCCCACGTTGTCCCTTTGGACTTTACTGAGGCTATTCAGGCTGCAAGTCGCTGCCTCTGCCTCACTTGTTTGCTACTGCCAGTAAAAATACCTGAGTAAAAGCAGCCCTTTTCAGGGACAGATCGAGACTGACTCTCTGTCTCAGATAAACTTGCTGGAGCTCCAGATTCACTCATCACCATAAGCGAACTGCACAGTGCTCTTCTCTAGAGGGACCCTGGGTCTGCTCCAGCACGGATCCTCCAGATCTGCTAACTCTGTCCAATAGTATTTATTTAGCAGATAAGACTTTGATGCTGCTGTTGTAGAAG